ATATTATATTATATTATATTATATTATATTATATTATATTATATTATATTATATGTATGTCTGTGGGTTTGTCCTTGTGAGTGAGAGTGTCTGGGAAGTCCATAGGACATCTGATCCCTTGGAGCTGGAGTTACAGGCAACTGTGAGCACCCAATGTGAGTACTGAGAACCAAACTTGAGTCCTCTGCAAGAGCATTACAAGCTCTTAACCACTGATCTCTCTTTAGCCTCACTTTTAAATTAAGAACCTATTGTTAGGAATAATCCTGTTCAGTATGTTTCAAGGTAACACACAAAAAGTTTCAAAAAATATATATTATGTACACAAACTATTTTTTAATCACTCCCCCTCCCATCAACAAGGTTTTTCTGTGTAACTATCTTGCCTGTCCTGGAACTCACTTTGTAGATCAGGCTGGCCTCAAACTCAGAGGTCTGCCTCCTAAGTGCTGGGATTAAAAGCATGCTCCACCACACCACCACAGCTCGGCTCCTTTATTTTTTTTTAAACCCACTAGGTAAACATAGAATTGTTCAACTCCACAGATTACAGACAAATAGTATTTTTATATGTGGAGCTATTTAAAGTACAAGTCAAAGTAAAACTCCATTCGTAAGCAATACCATTAATCAATAATGTCAATAAGAGATGGTGCAAAACCACCATACCCCACCTCAAGTGGCACAAAAATAAAATCACTTTACTAACACTCATGAGACAGAATGACAAGAAATGTAAAGAATGGTGTTCATCTTAAACCTTGATTGACTTTAGCAGCCAAGTCTACAAACAGATCGCTGTCGTTTTCAATGACTTGAGAACCAGAGCGCTTTTTCTTTGTCTCCTCAATGACAAAATCATAAAGGGCAAGGCGATCTGCTTGGGTGAGGTCACACACAGATCGTTTGTGATTCAGAGGAACTTCAACAGGCACTGAAGAATACATTCCTAAGGTAAAATAAGACAAGAGCAAATGATGAAGCTTGTGGACTTAACACTCTCTTTAAATATGTGCTATAACAATGCAATACTAACACAAGCTACTTTTTTTACATAAAAAAGAGGATGTGGTAAATGTTAATGTTCATGATGTCTGCTGTTCTCTTCCAACAAGGTTAAGCCAGGTCTATGAAACCAGGTAGTAATAACCACAGGAACCAACTCGCTCACTAGAAAGCCTGTTTTCCCTTCATGATGAGGTCTTGCCATGCTTGCCAGGCTGGCGCAGACTCTCAACTACAAGGCATTCTTGAAGGCTTCTCCTGTCTCAGCTTCCCAGGAAGCTCGGACTACAGGCACAAGCCATAGGAACAGGCTAAGAAAGCTTTTGTATAATTTATTAAGTACAACCTCTATATAAAATATGAATTATTTCCGTGTATTTGCCTTTTTTCCTGATAAAAGCTGAAAATATTTTTAGTAGGCAATGTACATTTTTCCTTCTGAAAACAAACTAAAGGGCCATGAGTATGTAAGAATAACTCAGATGAAGTACTAGATAGTTCAATACTCAAGTTCACTACATCTGTGCAATGACTAAAATAGGGAATAAAAATGGAAATTAAGTCAAGTATGGTGGCACACACCGGTAATCCTAGCTCTCAGGATTGGGAAGGTCACAGCCAGGCCTACATAGCAAGAGGTCAAGCTGGGTGGGCTATACAGTCAGACTCTTTTTTTTTTTTTAAGTAGAAATCCTAAATTTCCTAAGACCAGGAGAAGACTATTTAGACTAGTTTTAATTTCCGAAATAGGAAGTATGCTGGCTTAACTAAATCAAACAAAAAGGGAACAGCAGTGCACCCAATAGTTATGATCATTCTAAAATCTGCTCATGAATGAACAATAAATATATACAATACCTTGGTATGATGTATTAAAACATCGAAGAAAAATTTTGTTTTGAGATTCAAACATTCTCAAAGAAATAAAATGATTGTAACTGTAAACAAAGCAGTTGAAAACAAATCTTCCCACTGCAGACAGAACATCACTGCTAAAGGAATGCTAATGTTTGCTAGGTCACGAGCCCTCATTAACTGCTTAGATAAGAGGCTAGAGAATTCAAATAAGAGCACACTAAGAGCTAAGCATACAAAGAGCAGAAAGAAAGAAATAGAAGAGGAAATGCCAGCACACACGCTTCTCCTCGAGCTCAGGAGAGCTCAGTGGCACCGAGGCTGTGGTTTAACAGATGAGATAATGACACCTGGACATTGTTACAAGGGGCTGGAAATGAGTGGGGAGGGATGACTCCCTCTTAAATCAGCCACTCTGATGCTGAGGCACTATCAAAAGACTTTATGTAGCTGGTGTTAACATAATTTCTATATAAAACAGGCTTTGGTGAGTCTAATTCCTTTGAATATCAACTTTAAAAATCAGAGAGGAAAAATACAAAATGTAGAAAACAGTAAGATAATCAAGCTCAAAGTTCTTTTATTAATTAATCTTAAATTTCTTTACTATAGAAACTAATACTTAAACTTATCAAAACTCAATCAGAATTCCAAACCAAGACTTCTAAGAGTGACAACTATTGAGATAAAGCCAGAAGTTTCAGTGATACTTTAAAAGGATATCATTTGCAAAAAGGATACTGCATATCTTTAAATAAGGAGTACATTCAGGTTTCTAATTCCTCTTTATACTCACCCCAATTACTGAAAAAGAAAAAGTACAGAAAAGGTTAAGCAACAAACTACATTTCAAATCTCTCATGACAGTTTATTTTTGATTTAAAAAAAAAGGATAAGCACACTTAAGCAAGCTTCATTTATAGGAAGTGTAAAATTTCAAACTATAAGTTTCCATACGGTTTATGTGCTGTAATTGCTGTAAGTCTGTGTCCTCTTCCGCATTTTTTAAGTTGTGGTAAAATATAAATGAAACACAATTTATCCTTCTTAGCAGTTTTACTTACACAGTTTGGAGCACTGGACCAGACTTCACTATATGCAAGTATCACTCCTTCCCATCTCCAGAACTCTCATCCATCCAAAACCAGACAGCAGTTTACTCTAATGCACATTTTTCCTTGTTATCACTTACCTGCAGCACACATATTTTAGTAAAAGGAACTGTCTCTGTGTGGCACTTATGACTGTACAGAGAATCGACACAGAGACAAACTCTAACATTAAATTAAAAGATAAATAAATAAAGCTCATGGGAGAAAACTAACTTGCTCAAATGGCCCTCCAAGGTTCTTCTATAGAACACTGATAGCAAATCATGGCCATGTCTCAAATATGTGTCAGGAAACTTACAGCAACATAAATGCTTAATACTGCAGAAAAAGATAAACCACTAAGTATAAAGTTGCTATTTATGATCAAAATTAATATCTTTGTTATAAAACCAGTCAAAAGAGCTGCACAGGACAGCAAACAAACACCTAGGCCTAGGCTGTTCCCATCATGGGGAGGTCAGCAGAGCTTAGGTCTGACTGGCACAATAGGCACAACGAAAACACACATTCATTGCCAATAGACTTCCGTTCTCATGGACCCTAAACTTCATGTTCACATAAATAAATCAGTAAGAAGGCAGTGAAAGGATTTCTGTCTTCAGGTCAAAGATGTGAAAATATCTAGAACATAAGTGGACCACAAAGATAATTCTGCTTAAAAAAAAAAAAAAAGCAGAACCCCCAACATGGGATTTAAACATATTTTTAAAGGAGGGTTACAGATCACATTAAAATAGTTACTCAAAGCAATCCAATATTTTTGTTTTGGTTGTTTTTTGTTTGTTTGTTTGTTTTGTTTTTTGATACAGGGTTTCTCTGTGTAGCTTTGGAGCCTGTCCTGGAACTAGCTCTTGTAGACCAGGCTGACCTCGAACTCACAGAGATCCACCTGCCTCTGCCTCCTCAGTGCTGGGATTAAAGTCGTGTGCCACCACCACACGGCCACAATCCAATTTTAAGATAGAATTCATAGTCAAATAAGTTTCTCTATAAAGTTCAAAGCAATTCTTAGATGTCCTAAATTCAATCCCCAGTACCACACCAATAAATAAATAAATAAATAAAAAACCAAAATAACCGTTTCTGTGATGAACTGAGCTCAACATCTAAATTTTACTGTCTAGTTTATAAATTCATACTGTGACATTTTCTAAATCATTCACTTATACAAAACCATCCACAACATACTAACACTTTCTGCACATTAGTTTTTTCTCATACAGAATGTCTATTAGTTACTTTAGCACTTGTCAGGCCTATTCTCCAAAGACAAGACAACGGTTCTACTGCACAGAAGAACAAAACTCACAAGCTACTTATGCAAGGGTGGGTGGCAGCCTTTCTCCTTCAGACTGACGAGCGGAGGGTGAGCAGCACTGGCATGAGCGTGTGCGTGCAGTCCGACGTTCTCACAGTGATGGAACACATATGAACACGGGAAAGAACTCCAGCCCATGACTTTTACTACATGAAGACCATTTCTAACACAAAATAGAAGAACTCAGTTCTTCTGTGACACAGACAGAATTTCATCCGGATGCAGCCTTGCATCCCTCTGTGTTTCTTCACCTAGAGAAGGGAAAACACTTCTCCAACACAGCACAGCTTGCTGGGAAAAAGAAATGGAACATGCAAAAGAGCTCAGAGATAAAGAACTTAAAAATAATAAATAAAAAAAATAAAATAAAAGGATCAGCTGGATGTGTGGCACACACCAGGATCTCCAGCATTCACAAGGGAGGCTGAGATAGGGTCATTGTCAGACTGAGGGAGCCTCAGCTAGAGACCCTGTCTCAAAGAAACAAGGGGAGAAGGTGCAGAGGGGGAGAACCTTACTAAAGAACAAAAGCACCAGGCTTTTAGAACAAACACACAAGGACGTTATTCAACTGGCCCTATCAGCCAGTTAGTTTCCTATCTGTAAAATATAGACCCTGGATTCCATGATCCAAGTACTCTTTCAACTCCAAAACAAATCATTAATCTATCTAAGCCAGTTAAGTGCTGTGGAATAAGGCTCTTGCATGCTGTAATGATTTGTCAATCGTATTAGTTTAATAAAACGCTGACTGGACAGTAGCAGGAAGTATAAGCCAGTGACCAGACTAAGAGAATTCTGGGAAAGGCAGAGAGTCAGTTATAATCCAGAAGCAGAGGAAGGAAGAAGAGACTGTCTTACTGAGAAAAGAAACCAAGCCACGTGGCTAAACATAGATAAGAATTATGGGTTAATTTAAGCTATAAGAGCTACCTAATAGTAAGCCTGAGCTAACTGTCTAAACAGTTTATAATCAATGTAAGAACAGCTGTGGGACTGGGCAGGGAAGAAACTTCTATCTACAGTTAAGAGTCAATGTCTTAAAAGGCAAGACTCTCAAAAAACAAAACTTCATTTTTCTGAAAAAATTAATTCTACTAGTCTATTAACTAACAGAGCCAACAAACAGAAACAACAGACCATGAAAGACTTCAGTGATCACAGATCAGTAATCTGTAAACTGAAAAGCTGAGCTGAAGGCCAACAGGCACCAATGTGGGAGGTTTAGGCTGGCAAGGTGGCTCAGTGGGTAAAAATGCTTGCCACCAAGCCTGACCACAGGAGTTCAACCTTCAGAAGCCACACTGTGGAAGGGGAGAATTCACTTCCTAAAGTTGTCCTTGGACCTCTACCCTTTATTATGGCACATGTGCCACCCTCACCCCCAGTCTTCCCCCCACAAATACACAAATCAAAAATGTGTTTCCAGCTACTGAGTAACTAACACAAGAGACACAGGCCAAGGACAAAACAATCTTCCTTCTAAAGCCACAGGACAACTCAGATAGTGACACATGGGGAAAGATTGAATTTCAACAAGGAAGAAAACCTGCATAACGACTTGGGCGTGGGGTGGGGTGGGGTGGGGAACACGGCAACGGGGAAAGGGACGGGAAGGAGCAGTCCACCTCCCACAGAAAGACAACCTTGGCAAGAGGAGCCAGTTGTGCTCTGACTATATGTCACACCCGGACTTAAAAGTCTAAACCCTTTAATACCTTCATTCCTTCTGTTTGAGGGAAGCTGTTCTTTTAGCTCATAGTTAACTTTTTTTATTCTAGTTTCTGTCGAATTCTAAGGCAGAACCCTTTGAAAACAGCTCCAAAGCTGGGTATGAGACCCCACAAACCATGTAAGACCACAGCAGGTAAAGCACTGTGCTTGTGCTTTCCTGGTACAGACTCAGGAGGGAACATTCCAAGAGCGGCAATGGAGACTACATGTTTAGTGGTACGTGTTTTTCAACATTTTCAAGCACCCCAATAGAACAAAACAAGAAGACATCCTTATCCAGCATACCTACTCACTAAATAATCTATCTTTTAACAACTTACCCACCAGGCAACCACACCTATCAGATAATGCCAAAACAGCACCCCTGGCTGAGATGGAGTCTGAGGGAGCTTCCAATGTATCTGAATAGGAAATAGCTAATAATCAAGTTGAAACAATGTAAGCTATTCCACTGTTAAATGTAAAACTGATCCTTTTTCAGTGTAACCATTTCACAGGGGTTTTCTTGAGAAGTAATATCATGCTTATATGAGGAAAAAAATACCTTGATTCTCAAATTAGCTGGACTACAACACTTACTTTGACTGTAACAATCGCCATCGTTCCCAGCTGCAGTTCTAGCTTGCTTAATTATCTGGAACTGTGAATCTTTATCTGAAAAAGAAAAATCCAAATCAAGGTCCATAATCTCAGTAAGAATTTTTTTTTCCAGTCCACTAGGTGATCAGTTTCCAATTAGTTCAGAAAACATAATCAGGCATTCAGGATTAGCAGATACAAATTTAAGCAACTAATAACTAGTATCTCTGAGAGTCCAGACAACATTTGAAGTGTATTAGATTTATCATAATCTTTAAGGTGTGGGAACAGTGTGCTTCCCTGGAAAATAACAGACTCTAGGTTCAGTCTCCAGTACCACAAGAAATAATGAAACTTAGGCAATCAATAAGGCAACTGCACACCAAAAGTCACATACATACCTAAGGTGAATCAGGACATCCTGTTTCCAGAGATCAATCAAGACTTTGTCCATATACTGCAAATAACTGGAACACATTTCCCATTTTCATCTTCCCTCTATCTTCAGTTCCCATTGGATGGACCACAATCCCACCCTCCCTTGTACCTTCAGTCATTGTTGCATAGTCATATTTTTGTTACAACCAAGAAGGGAGGCCTACTATATAATTGTTTCTTTTTGTTGTTTTGAGACAGGGTTTCTCTCTGTAACAGTCCTAGCTGTCCTGGAACTCACTCTGCCAGACTAGGTTGGCCTCAAACTCACAGAGATCTGCCTGCCTCTGCCTTCTGAGTACTGAAATTAGAGGTGTGTGCCACCATGCCTGGTCTACTACACAAAAATTTGCAGTATTTTCACCTCTGTTAACATAAGCCCAATCTTGTTTTCACATTACATGAATTATCTTCATTGTGTATTAATTACTCCTATTATCACTGATCACAAGCATGTCTCTAATATCTATTCTTTTGCTAAAGAAAAATATAAAAACTAGACTTTTTTTCAATTATAATCTAATATACTTACTCAAAGTAACTGAAGGAATCTTCAAATTCTCATAGAAAAAAGCAGGATTATACATTTCATCCTAAACAGTGAGAAAACAAAAAGAGAAACTTTAGCTAGTATTCTTGAAGACTGCACAGTTGTCTGCTTTAAGATTTGACAGAAATAATACCACTACTGAAGTTTCTAACAATTTGTGAAGTCAGGCAAAGTACTGTGTTCTACAAGGGATCATAATACACCCTTCAGACTTACTGATAAATGATGTAATAAACAAATGTTACCTCTTCCTCTCTGGCATAGCCCAGCTTCCTCAATCTGCAAGATTCCATGTGCTTTGCTAATGATGATTTAGGCATATGATGATTGGAATCATAAGGGCATACCGTGATTTCATTCTGCAAAAATCAAACAGAAGGAGGAAAATAGTATTTAAACAACAATCTAGTACTTCCTTTCTGCAGACTCCCTTATTTTTTTTTTTAAAAAAAAGGAAATTGTCTCAAAATTCTAAAGCCTCGGTCCTCTTTCCAGTCCTTCAGAGCTTAACTTTCTTATTTTTGTTGTTGTTGTTTATTTGTTTGTTTTCAAGACAGGGTTTCTCTGTGTAGCCTTGGCTGTCCTGGAACTCTCTCTGTAAATCAGGCTGGCCTCAAACTCAGAGATCCACTTGACTCTGTCTCTCAAGTGCTGAAATTAAAGACATCTGCCACTATTACCCACCTGAGCTTAACTTTCTTAACGATTGATTCACTATCTCCCCAGACTCACAGCCATGGGTAAATGTTTACCTCTACACCTCTGTCATCACTACCTGACTGACACCAGCCATTAGCAATCTTCTTGCTACTGAAGCCAAAAAACATGTCATGGTTGTTGTATGTGAGCTCCTAGCCAACTTTGCTCTCTTTTGTTGTTTATATGTACATATGTATATGGGAGCACATGTGTAAATGTGCATTTGGAGGCTGGAGATCAACCTTTTTCTCAACTACTCTCTATTTTTTGAGACAAGGTCTCTTACTAAATCTGAAGCTCACCTATTTGGCAAGACTGGCTAAACAGCAAGCCCCAAGGTCTCTCTCCAATACTGAGGTTACTGATTCTAGGAATTCTCACTTTTCTGAAGCAAGCACATTATCAACCAAGCCATTGTTTTGTTTATGAGGCAGGATCTTGCTATGTAGCCCAAGCTGGCTTTGAACTTAAGGTATTCTTCCTGCCTTAGTCTCCAGAGTGCTGGGGATTACAGGCATTCATCACCACATCTAGCTTCTGACAAATGTTTATTTCTGCCCCTCTGGCTCTTGAAGTTGCTCCCTTTAAATGTTGATATTTCATGTAATGCTAATCATTAACCTCTTGTCATTCAATAACATGCTTCCTAGCCAATATTCTGCGTTCAAGTCTCACTATACTGTAGTCAATCTCATCAGATCATGTTTCTCTCTTTGGTACCTTATACTAGGATCAAGGTGGCTCAAAGGGTGCAGTACTCACCAAGCAAGTATGACGACCTGAGCGCAATCCCTGAAACCCATACGAAGTTGAGAAGAGAGAAACTGATTCCACAAAACTGCCCTGACCCACCCCGCATCATATACACACAATACTTTTCTTTAATTGTTTTAATAATTATTAAGTATGTTGTACTAAAAGCCCAACATGAACAAAAATAAATTCAATATATTCATGGTTTGTGTGTTATTTGGTCTTAGTTGTCAAATTGATAAAATCTAGACTCGCCTAGGGCCTCTGGGCCCATATCCATGTAGAAGCATCTTGATTAGGTTAATTGAGGTTAAAGACTGTGAGTGGAACTACTCCCTGGGCCAGGTTTCTAAGCTATAGTCTTAGTTGCAGAAGCTTCATGTTCCTGTAGCTTTGGCTTCCCTATTAGCACAGATTTTACCTTAAACTGAAAGCCTCCTTGGTTTTGCATCTGTTGCTGTGATAAACACCCTGCAGAAGCAACTTTAAAGAAGAGCTCATTTGGTTCACAGCTCGAAGCCAAAGCTGCGCAAATGCACCCACAGTTATGGATGAGACAAGAATGTATGAAACGCTAGTGTTTGGGTTATTTTTCCCTTGAATTAGTACAGGGCCCGGCCCATAAAATGGTACTCCCCTCTTCAGGGTGAATTTCCCCACTTTAATTAATCCAATTAATAAATCCCTCTCTGGGATGCCCACAGGCCAACCTAATTTAGATCATTCATAATGATCTAAATAATGGGAGACTCTGTCCCCGGTGATTCTGCATTGTGTCAAAACTAATCATGACACCATCCTTTCTTTTTTTTAAAACAATTTATTTTTATTTCATGCACATGGGTGTTTCGCCTGCATGCATATGTGTGAGGGTGTCAGATAATCTGGAACTCAAGTTACAGGCAGTTGTGAGCTGCCATATAGGAGCTGGGAACTGAACCCAGCCGGGTCCTCTAGAAAAGCGTCAATGTTCAAGCACTGAGCCATCTCTTCAGCCCCACACCTTCTCTTAACCTTGCTGTTGTTGGGTATTTTTATCACAGCAATACAGAGGTAACTAAGCCCCCTAGCACCCAAAGCTGCGTTCTTCCCATTTCTGTGAAAGGAACCACCTGCTCAGAAACTGCCTCTTCCCTTGTCACCACATCCAAGAATTGCCTAGTCCTGACGATTTTACTCTTAAATGTCTTTGAAATCCTCTTCACTCTCTCTATCCCCAGTGCCACTTCTCCAATTCTAGATGCTCCAACCACCTCTCTAGGTAACAACTGCCATCTAATTGCTCTCTATCTCTGCTTCTGGGATGGCTGCGCTCTACCCCATTCTCCACCATGCAGCTATTTTTGATACCCTAGCTCTGCCATTTACTGACTATACGATACTGGGCAACATAATCAACCTTTTCTTGACTCAGGTTCTTCATCTATAAAAGGGAAGCAAAAGACCCTTATCTCAGAAAGATATCATGGAGGTTAAATAAACATAAATACGTGGGTTTATACACAAAAAACGTCTCGGTAAGGGGCTAGCACGTGGTACGTACTAAATAATTTTACACATATCAACTAAGTACACGCACTCTTAGAAACCACAAGGCCTGCACTCAAACCCCAGCTGCCAGTTATCGTCAGTGGTTTTGTTTCCTCATCTGCAGAATGGCAATCACTCTCACCTAAGAGGGTCATGGAGAATGTTAAATATAGTAATGTAGGTGCCGTATACAAGGCATTAGGTGAGGGTTAATATCCTTTTGCTGAGCAAACGATGACCTAGAAGGCGGTGGTGGGTCGTACTCAAAGGCCTGGAAATTTCATAAATCATCTAATACATGCTCAAAAAATGGTCAGTTCTCCCCCAAACCCACTTTACAGCACCGTCACTAGGTTTTAATCCATGAGCTATAATTGGTTAATTCATAACTCCAAAAATACTTGTAAAGGAACAATGGAGGGTATTTTCCTTCTAATTGTCACTTCAATTTTAACAGCTAGTAGCTTATATGTGCATCTAACATTTCTTAAATATTTCCATTGGCGTACGACTTAAACCTTGTTATTTCAGCAAAGTAAACGCATGCGAGTGTAAGAAAGCTCCATGCAATGCAAATTCCTTCATCCTGGGCCGATCAAAACAAGTCAGGATAATTCACTCAAATACACTTCTTAAGGGTCAGCTGCTAGTTACCTTAGTGGCGTCCTTTCTAGAACCGGTACTGAAAGGCGTCCGGATTTAAGGTAGAGAAAAGAGAACTCGATACCCACTCCCCTCCCGTCTCCGGCTTTCCTGACACTGACTCTTAACGCAATGCGGAATCCTTTTGACAGATGACAGAGCAACTCGCCAAGCCCACAAGCAGCACCCCACGAGCCCTGCCCGCCTCTGCACCGCACCGGGGTGGAGTGCTCGGAGAGACCTGGACCGAACGCGCGTCTTCCCTTCGGCGAGAAGCCCTCAGCCCCGAAAAGGCCAGGCCACCGCCTCCCTCACCTCGGCCGCCGCCTCGTCCCCAGGGTCCAGCTGGTCCAGGCTCCATCCCAGGGACGCCGTCACCTCCTCCAGAGTCCGGCAGCAGCTCTCTACAAACTCGCTCAACTCCTCTTGCAGCCGCCGCCGCTCCTCCAAAGGTGGAGGCTCAACCTCCATGGTCGCTGCTCGCCTCCCGCAGGAAGTTGTCGAACTGCTGGCCGCGCGCGCGGGCTTCTGGGAGCTGTGGGCGGGGCCGACGGATGACGCCAGCCTATAGGAAAGAGCCGCGGGAGCCGTAGTTTTGAAAGGCGTCTTCCGGGTTCTTCGGGGCCAGATTTCGTTTGCTAATAGCTGGTTTGTACTTGCACCCTGGCTTACCAGAGCATCATTCTCCACGCCTCTTCAGCGTTTTTAGGAAAAATGATTTATATCGACAGAAATGCTTAAATAAAAACAAAAAAAGTATCGGTATAGCCTTCCTCCAGCTCATTAGCATTTTGCCACTTTTAACTACTCTAAATGTCTTCATATCTTCTTGACTCTTCATCCCTGATGTTAGTATGCACGTCCTCAGAACGTTTTCCTACATAACTGCAATGCATGATCAAACACAAAATTCGTAAAATCATGTAACGTGTAGTTTGTTATCTGACGAATTCTTCTTACGGCAATTGTATTATGTTTCAACCAATTGACTATAATTAGTTATAATCTCTTAATTTAAGACAGCCTCCTCTCCTCTGTCTACAGTTCACCCTCCCCCTTTCTGAGACAAGAGTGTCACTATGTAGGGTGGCTGTCTGGCCTGGAACTCAATTTGGATACCAGACCTAGATCTGCCTACTTCTGCTTCTGAGTGATGAGGTTATAGAGTTGCACCAACGAGTCTGGGGTAGTAATAGAGAAGAAAAGAGAAAGAAGACTGAAAATTTTCTTTGAGGCCTTTGGTGGGCGGTTACAAGTGGTAGCTAGGACAACAGAATGATGGAATGTCAGATGACAGATAATATTTCTCACGCCCAATCATTTCTGAGCATGGATAGGACAGAGAGAGCAAGAATCTTAAAAAACAAACAAACAAAAACAGTTACTTTAGTTCTGGAAACCAAATTACATTAGTTTCAGGAAATATTATTTAACCAAAATAAAAGAGCTTGACAAAAATGGTTTGACCATAGCTAACATAGACCCTAAGAATATATTCCCTACATGTTCATATAACTCTCCACTGACCTCTTATTACAGGTTTAAAATGATTCTTCCCACATAGTGTCATGTGTTCACATTTATTAATGGGCATTTGTCTCAGTTTCTTTAATAAGATACTTTGACAAAGTCTATTTAAGAGGGGGTGGTGAAACATCCCCAATAGGTTTATGTGTTTGAACACATTGTATTTTATCACAGTGACATAAAAGTAACTAACACATGGGGAAAGGGTTTGTCTGGGTTCCCAGTTCAGGGTTACAGTCCAACGTTCCAGCAGAAATCACACTGGTGGGAGCTTGAGGAGTCTAGCATTCACGGCAGAGAAGCCGGGAGTGTGGTGTAAGCGCATGCACCCCACACTCAGCATCCTCTCCCCTTGTCATTCAGTCCCGCCATTCAGCCAGAGGTACAGACTTCATTCAAAGTAGCAGCCAGCTCAACCAGGCACGGACGAACCTTGGGAATGACCTGAAGGATCATGGGAGCAGACAGATCTGACCAAGCTCATCTTTGCAAACCATCAACTTCAGTCACTCTTGGATGGCTTCTGATTCGTGCCTGCCCTCGCTGTTATTGAGGTATGCGATGATCAGCTGACATTCCTTCCTTCTGCTGTGAAAGAGCTAGAAAATCTCCAGAAACTTAATATTAGCCATAACAAACTGAAAATGTGCCCTAAAGAAATTAGAAAAATAAGAAACCTGAAGGTGCTGTTTATCTAGCCAAATAAACTGACTTGTGTACTGGAGAGGGATTTAAACCTTTCTAATTTAGAAGATTTAGGTCTTTCAAATAATCATCCGAAAACTCTGCCTGCTGTTTTTGTTTTGTCTATCCAGTCTGCTGCAATCCAATCTGTATAGTAGACAGCTGAAGAGTCTGCCCACCGAAATAAGCAAGCTAAAAAGATTAAAGCATTTGGGTTATAATTCAAGTCTCTTAGAGCCTCCCAGACCAGCCACTGTGGGATTACTTTATTTGAAAATAAATAGAGTATTCTATTGGAATCTCCTTCATGTAGACTATTGAAAGAATTACATGTAGAGGAAGAGCAGACTAAAACATTAGGACAGTGATTCTCGATCTTCCTAATGCTATGACCCTTTAATTTAGTTCCTCATGTTGTGGTGACACCCTGTGGTTGTTTGAAAGAAAATGTCCCCCAAAGGGAGTGGCACTACTAGGAAGTGTGGTTTTGTTGAAGTAGATGTGGTCTTTTGGGGGGAAGTTTGTCACTGTGGAGATGGACATTGAGGTCTCATATATGCTCAAGCTATGCCTAGTGAGACAGACCACTTCCTGTTGCCCGAGGGATCAGGATGTAGCTCCTTCTCCACCCTCAGCTCCTTCTCCAGCACCATGTCTGCCTGCATGCTGTCATGTCCCACCGTGATGATAATAGACTAAACCTCTGCAATTATAAGCCACCCAATTAAATGTTTTCCTTTATAGGCATTGCCGTGGTCAGGGTATCTCTTCACAGCAGTAGAAACCCTAAAACACCCCCACCCATAAAATTATTTCCATTACTACTTCATAACTGTAATTTTGCTACTGTTATGAATTGTAATGTAAATATCTAATATGGAGGATATCTAAAAATGACTGCCAAAGAGGTCATGACCCACAGGTTGAGACCCACTGCATTAGGGCAATGTCTTAAGCCTTGAATGTGATCCTTCTGCCAGACCTGAGAGACAACAAGTTAAACCCTCCCAGAGGAAACAGCCCTGCTGTCGTCTTCGGGAAAGCTTGACCTAAGCAACAATGTCCATTGGGTAACCTCCATTTGAGGTTCCTGACCCTGAACGGTAATCCTTTACAAACTGTTTGAAGATAAATGGTAAGAAAAGAAGCCAAGGAGTCCTAAAATACCCACAAAGCAAATGTGAAGTACCCAAAGACTGTGTACCTGAGACCACCTTGGCACTGCCGATGACTCCAGAGTCAGCGATCACAACATTGTCACACTAGGAGTGATAGACAAGCAACCTTCATTCCCAGTGATGTGTCTGACGCCGTAGAAACACATGTCACTTCTGCAGTAAGAATCATTTGTGCAAAGCTGTATATCTAGAAAATTGACAGCTGATGTCAATCTTAGTTTTCACAAGTTTTCCTTTGTACCCTGGGAGTTAGGCGTTTTTCACAGCTTGACAATCTGTGACTGAACATTTTGAGTTCTTTGCCTGAAGGAATCAGCGTCACTAGCAGAACTACAAACGATCGGGCTTCCCTTTGACACATTCAGAGTGCTGCCGGCAGTGTGCTCCCTACCTACACTGAAAGCAGAGCTCTGACCTGCTAACAATCGGGTTGACTCCCTGGACCTCAGGCAAGGAAGCTGGTGGAAAACGTGAGCGCCTGAGCCTTCTGCATAGTGGCATGCTGCAGACTCCACGGCAGCTTGGGGTCTCTGTGTGTTTCTAAACACTACTGCCGGATGGAAATCCGTTCCACAGTCCTTGAGCCATCATATAAAGGAAAGACAGAGCCACTGTGCCGGGGTATGAGAGATCAAACTCCTGCCTGAGTTATATTTGGCTTCCCATCTTGGAAAGGCCGGAGCTGACCTCCAGTGACTGTGTTCAGTGTCACTAGGTCACCTGCCACACTGTATTCACTGCCACCAAATGTCTGCTCGTTGACAGTTTAGCAGTTTTAGAATGTCCCGTACATTCATAATTGTGTCCGCAACATATACTACTGTAGTATTCAGATAGTATTTATAGATACTGCTTTGACTATTTTTTAATTTTAAGAAGTGTACTTTTATGTGTATAGGTGTTTTGCCTATGTATATGTCTCTGTACCACATGTGTGCCTAGTGCCTTTGGGGGGAGGGGTGTCAAATCTGCTGGAGTTAAGAGTTATAGATGCTTCTGACCTATCATATGGGTCCTGGGAAATGAAACCTGGTTCTCTGGAAGGGCAGCAAATACTCTTAATCTCTGAGTCTTCTCTCCAGTTCCTGTTTTGCAAATCCATCCCCGAATAACATCCCAAGAAACCTTATTTAACGGGACTTAATATTTTCACAGTGACACAGTGATCATTTTTATGGAAGTGGGCCCCTCCCTCTTGCTTCTTTTGTGTGTCTGTGAGACATTTCCCTGATTCATGATTGATGTGAGCAGTGCCATTCCCGGGCTAGTCCCAGACCATAACAGCAAGTTGAGTAAGCCATGAAAGCAAGCTAGCACCCCTTCGTGGTTCCTAACTGAGCTCATGCCTTGGACTGTAAGATAGAATAAACCCTTTCCTCCCAAGTTGGTTTTGCTCAGTACCAAAGCATGCGTGTGAAGGTCATAGGACAGCTCTGTGGACCCAGTTCCCTCCTCCCGCCTTTTCATGGCTTCCAGGGATCAAACTCTGGGGCTTCAAGATGGCACAGCACACACTTTTATGCACAGAGCCATGTTGCCAGCCTAAAAGTTCCGTCTAAGGGTTCAGGTACAGAAACTTGGAGGACACAGGGAAATTTTGCCAGCTCACCCTATTTCTCTGGTTACTGTTTTACCCTGAGGAAAACTACCCCACAGCAATGCTGCTAATCTCTGTTTAATCACCACCTCCATTTTGTTGATTATTTCACCGTGAATTGGGTTTAATTAAACAAATGTAAAGTTTTAAAATTTAGAATTATATACATATTATATAAAGTATATTTGCTATTACTGTTGATACTAGAATCATCCTATATTTGGCCTATGGAAGCCAGATTAAGACATGCCCTAGATGTCTTTAACAAATCCCCATTAGTCTGTGTATGCCAGGCTTCGATTATGGGCTGAGTTGGGTTCTTCCGAAACTTCCATCGTCACAGTGTGACTGTGTTTGGAGATAAGGCCTTTAAAGAGATGAGATTAAACAAAGGTGTAAGGGTGAGGTTCTAACTTCATTAAAAAAAAAGCCTTCATAAAAGACACTCCTCTTGTGCAGCACAAATTGGAGTGATGGAGATTAGCAAGACTCTCATGCAAGGACAACATGCAAATCCTCAAAGCATT